GCAAGGGTTTTGCTCGTCTCTGCCACGACGTCGCCCGCTTTCTATTGAAGCTTCTCACCCTGGGTCGCCGACGAGCCAATCCAGCTGATTCACGTGGACGCAGTGGCACCCTCTCCACGGGCACGGGCACCCAAACGAACTCCTCGAATGCCACGGCTGCCACCAACTCGAGCATTCTGTCGCGCAGCTCGAATCGTCGCGGCAGCGAGGATATCAGCCGCACACGGCTCAAGATCGAGCTGCAATTGCCGTGCGGCAGCGATCTGGAGGCGATGGCCATGCTCCAGAACTCCACGTTGCGCAGCAAGCGGCGGCAGAGCGACAGCCGGCTGCTCGGCGAGAAGAAACCGCGACGTCCCAAGCCGCAAATAAGTTTCGATGAGGCTGCCGTGGGACGAGCTCCGAAAGAGACTGTCATCCCGGCATGAAGCGGAAGCAAATCCAGGCTGGGGAGAAGAGAACGAGACTAGAAGTCGAGGAGAAAGCTGGAGAAGGAAGTACAACTATTCCGGAGAGAGGGAAGAGCAGCTGTGGTAAGAGTATAAACCGAAGGAGGAAACTGTAAAACTGGAGGAGAAGAAAAGACCAGGAGACGAGTAGGAGCCGGAGGAGGAAGTCGCTAGTGCCTGGCAGAGAAGGAGGAGGGGGAGGAGCCGTAGCAAAGGTGAAAACCGAAGAGGAAACTGTGAAGCTGGCAACGGAGGTGAAGAAGAGATCCGAGGACGAGTAGTAACTAAAGTGGCATTATGGCAGGAGGAGGAACCGTGGTAAGAGTACAAACCTAAGGAGGAAACTGTTAAGCTGCCATGAAGCGGAGGCAAATCGCATAATGACAGACCGAGCCGGAGTCAAGTCCAGGCAGAAAGGGAGAGAAGTCCGGGCAAAGCTGGAGGCAAGTCCAGGCAGAGGAGGAGGAGGAGGACGAGGAGAAGGAACACGAGATGGAAGCGGAACGGAATGAAAAATCATGTGTAACCCGTTTACACTTACGCTTCAGTTGATTGGAATGCGGCCTGTCCACAGTCTCAGCTGATCCTGGCCACGCCCGTAATCGATGCCATTCAGGCCGTTGACAAGACCCAAGCTCAAAATCCTTGGACATATCCGCACACAACCAAAAAACAATCAATTTTTCGGGCTATTAAACTCGAATGAATGTGCCAAAGATAAATAACAGCAGCGACAGCCAAAGCACCAAAAACAACTACAACTATTTGTGGGGAAGTGTGACAGGGGCAGGGGCGGGGGCGGGGGCGGGGTGTGCTCCATTAACTGGCATGTAAAGCACGGCAAATGGAAATGGCTTTATATGCGCTTTGGTGAGCCCATCAAGACGATGGATAAACATGATTTAGTTGTATTGAAATACATAGTTTATTTTGCTTCTCTCTCCGCTGCGCAGTTTCTTTCCGCAGAGTTTGTTATCGTTCGTTTGCCAAAATGGCGGCCAGCAGCAAAAAAAAGTGTTGCCTACTTTGCGGCGACCGAGTAAAAATCAAAACTAAAATGCATAGCTCGCATGTAACACACACACGCACACATACACACACACTCACACACATATTGATAAATATTTATATATATATATACATATATGCCCACGCACACATGTATTTACCTTGTATATCTACTTAGAGGCGCCCAATTTGTAAGTAAATAAACATTTTTGTATTACAACTCAAGACATTACCTTAATCAGATGCAAAGCGTTTTCTGTTTTGATTTTCGTTTCTGATAAGAATCTGGCAAACAATTGTAAATATGTTTGTATGCAGGCACAGTGAAAGCTCTGCGGACGAACAGCTGGAATTGGGTGAATGTTTAATTTAGCTGTTTTAATATTTTAATAACAAACTTTAAATTAACTTTGAAGAAAGTTGAGATTTCACTTTTTTTAAAAACATTTTTTGCAATGCTAAATTTGATAAGAATTTATATTTTGGGTTTTTTTGCAAGTTTAAAAAATCGTTTAAAAATCAGACACATTTTAATTAAACAAATTTAACTCGTGCGAGTCTATAGAGTTTTTTAAATTTTGCAAATTGTTATATTTTTGTTGAAATTTCGATAGTTTAACAAAGAATTTGGAATTTTTTGAATTTTTAAATTCCAGGCTATATATTTGACAACCGTACTATTCTAAAATGTACTTTATGTACTCGACATATTCACTTCCTTTTCATTTTATTTCTTGAAAAATAATCTCTTCAGCCAAAATGACCCTTAATAAAACCGCAACCACTTCAGCGAGCTTTCACTGTACCGTTAAGTAAAGTTATTTACATTGGTTTTTGTTTTTTTTTTTTTGAAAAGTTTCGACCGTAATACGACCTAGTTATTATCAGAAAAATATCTGTATATATGTGTATATTTATTTGTAGAGCAGACGTTTCCGTTTCCGTTCTGGTAATTTGATTAGGTTGAGTGCTGCTTCAATTGGAATAGTTTTTAAACATTGAACTCGATTTTTATTTATGATCAAACTTTGCAGACAAGCAACATTAAAAACTCATCTTTGTGTATTTCGTCTATATACGTTTGACTATAATTCTTGCAGTCCCATCATTGCCATCTCTAGCTACAGCGTGGAGCCATATGGGGACGGGACGGAGGCGCCAGTTTGCACCACGGCCGCGGATGGCTTTTGGCCCATCTTATATTTTGTGGGCACCATAACGCTCTTCTTCTTTCTGCCCTTTGGTATCCTGCTGCTGCTGTACGCCGCAATTGCGTACAAGCTGCTGCGCCCGAACAGTGCATTCCATAGGCCCACCTCGCCGCAGGGGCCGACACCGACGGCGGCGACGGCAGCCAGCAACAAGGGCAACAGCCATCAGCAGAGCAATGGGATGCGGCGGCATCGCAAGCAGGTGATCTTCATGCTGGTGGCGGTGGTCGCCAGCTTCTTTGTCTGCCTGCTGCCGTTCAGGGCATTCACGCTGTGGGTGATCACGGCCAGCAGCGAGGATGTGGAGCGTCTGGGCATTGCCGGCTACTACAATCTGTTGTACTTTTCGCGTTTCATGCTCTACCTCAACTCGGCCATGAATCCTATACTCTACAATCTGATGTCGTCCAAGTTTCGCAGCGGCTTCTGGCGGCTGCTGCTCAGCTGCTTGGGCCGCCGGCCGCATCATCATCGCCATCATCATCACTATCCCACGATCGCAGAGCGCAGTCTGCGGCAAACGCAGCGCAGGCAGGATCATGAGCCGACGGAGGCTGTGCCGGGCACAGACAATGCTCAGCGGCCGCGACGCACGCTGCGACGGGAGGCCACCTTTCTGATCAACTCCATATCGACCTCATCGGGCACCGAGCGCCACACCTCCTCCACCTGGCGCAGCAACAGCCTCTCCACGTCCCTTGGACTGGGCGAGCGGGAGCGTGATCGCGGCGCCCTTGGAGCTGCCATAATTGGCACAACGGCGGCGACAGTTACCACGGCCTGTCTGCAGGAGCGACGCGCCAGCAAAACCTGAGCACAGCAAAAAATGGTATTTAGTTGAATTCCGGCAGCACACACATTTAGTCCATAGTCATAGTTAATAGATGAAATTTTGTTGTAAAGACTGAAGTACCTCAGAAGAAGTCAATAAACGCTAGAAAAGATTCGTTTTTGGAAACCAAAGTAAAAAAAAAAATGCTGGCCTTTTTTGTGGCAAGGCAACCGAAAGGTTCGAGCTCCAAGTGAGAATATAAATATCGTAACTGTGTTATCTAAAGGTCCAGTACAACGGAGCATAAAGGTTCGAGTCCTAGGTCAATGTGTGAATGTGGTAGATGTCTAAGCTAAAGGCCCAGATATAGGCAATTAATAAACGAGACTCATTAGTCTTTTTTTGCTTATCTATTGCTAATATTTTTTATCTATTAGTAATATTATTCAAAGCCCAGGCTTATGTGTTAATATGTTAGATATCTCAGCTAAAGGTCCAGTCAGCTAGGCAACTAAGAAATGCGGTTCATTCGCCTGCTAATGTTTAAATGACGTAGCAATGTTTTTGCTTATCTATTGTTAACAATTTTCCATATATTAGTAATAAAATTGGAAGCCCACGCTTATGTATAAAAAGGTATATGTCCAAGCTAAAGGCCCAATCAGCTAGGCAACTGCAGGAGTAATTTTGTATGCTTATAATTTGTTAATCTTATTTGTAAGCAGAAAAATGTTGCTTGTTGCTCCGACCATAAACATGCGTGTGGCTTATGTTCAAGTAATTTTTATTAAACGTCTCTCATTATCTTATTACGATCATCAAAAATTACGCTATATTATGTGCCTAAACAAATCCTACGCGTTTTTCTCTTTTTCACTGAACGTTTTTCTCTTTAAATCTAAATAATGGGGGTTTCTCTTTTGATTTATATAATAATTACAATATGACAGACAGAAGTGAGACATGATTTGAAGAATGAAATTGTTTTATATATATATATATAATTCGGTTTGGTGCCGGATTTGAGTCTGGGCTATAATAAACGCAGTTTTTGTTTGGTTTTTATTTTTGTTTGTTTTTCATTTTCATTTTGTTTTTGTTTATGCATATAAGTATTAATAGTAATCGGTATCGGTATCGGTATCGCTATCGTTATCGCTATCGGTTCGCGCTGCTGTGGTAAGTAACTCTTAAGTTTAGATTAATTTAGATTAAGTTAATTACTACACCATTTTGTTGTTGTTTGCTTTGCACTACTTATGAACAGAACTATAGAAAAACAAAAGGAAAGTCAAAGGGGTACGAGTGAGGGGATAGGGGGGGTAGTACATATCAGTATATCCTGTGTGTTATATCTGTGTGTGTATGTGTGTGTCTGTGGCTGTTCACAAAGTTGAACTTGAATTGCGCGCGCTTTCGCAACGATCTTCTCATACTCTTTTCAATACGCATCATTATTGTTATTATATAATTCAATTGTTTTTTTTATAATTACGATTTGCTTGTTTTATTATTGTTGTGGATGTTTCTTTTCTTTTTTCATCTTTTGCTTTTGCCGTGTTTTTGTATCGTTTTAATTTATTATATTTAAATTTTGTTTAATTGTATAATAAAATAATGATTCACAATCAGAGTTATTCAGCAGCAACCAGATTTGGTGTTCTCCACTGGACGACCCTGATCGATTTTCACTTTGCTAGCATTATCGGTGGCGCTGGACGGCGGCCCGACGCGATTCTTAATCTCGGCCGCCATCGTCATAAATGCCTGCTCCACGTTGGTGGCGCTCTTGGCCGAAGTTTCAAGGAATGGAATGCCTAACTGATGTGCGTACTCCTGCAAATGCAAAGTTTGAATACATTAATTAAAGACAAAGCTATGATAAATATATATAATATTTCCCGGCTATACACTTTCACATATTTCTGGTTTGTTATAAAGGTTAATCTACCCATACAGTTTTGAGCGAGAGTGTAAAGTCCATCGCATTAAGTAAGATAATTTGAGATCAGTTATTTCCGTTCATTTTAGTCTCGAGATATGAAGCTTAACATTTGTTCATACTACCTTTGACCCACAGTTTTTATACAAGAGAAGTAAATATTGCACTAAGTGCAAAACATGTCTCAAACAAATTTTAACAAAAATCTTTAAAAATGAACTTAAAGCCAATCGAATGTTAAACAAGCGTTTCAAGTGTCGGCTTTCGCATGAATTAAAAGAAATGAATTAGAGGTCGATCGGACGATAAACAACTTAGTTAATCATTAATCGGACAGTGAGTCAGTCATATATGAAGAGTATATACAAAAAGAAATATACAAAAAAGTGGATGGTTCGCACGCACCGCAGCTGTTGTATGATCGACAACTTTCTTGGTGGTTAAATCACTTTTGTTGCCCACCAGCAACTTGTTAACATTTTCGCATGCATATCGCTCGATTTCCTCCAGCCATTGCTTGACATTATTGAAGGACTCCTGATCCGTGCAATCGTATACAACAATGATGCCATGCGCACCACGATAATATGATGATGTGATGGTACGGAAGCGCTCCTGTCCAGCAGTGTCCCACTACAAACAGAAACGGGACTTAGTATATATATGTATATATATCTCTCTCTCTCTTGACCGACAACCTACAATTTGCAATTTAATCGTTTTGCCATCCAATTCTATAGTTCTAATTTTCTGTAAAAGAGAAAAAAGCTTTGTTGAGTCACAGTTTTATGGCTAGATGATATGTTGGGCACTTACAAAGTCCACACCAATTGTGCTGATATAGCTCTCTGTATATGTATCATCGGCGAATCGGAGCAGCAAACAGGACTTTCCAACGCCAGAGTCGCCGATCAACAGCAGTTTGAAAAGATAATCGCTGTAAAACACAAAAAAAAAAAAAAACAGAACAAATGTGCGTATTACTCAAGGCATATTTCCACCAGCATATCGCGCTCTTAAAATGCGCGTCACGAATTTGTTTATCTTATCACGTACCCAGTCGAAACAACCTGCTAATACACATTGCTTGACATCTAATCTGGAAGGTCCCTTCTATGGGCCTAATGCTAATGCAGCTGCATATACAGTGTTAACTCGTTTGAACGAAACTTAAGGGAGGAATTTATTCGTTTATTATTTTACATATTTCTCTGCATAATTATGATCGGGGAATACTTCACAGTTTTCCTCCTTTCAAAAGTTCTTATTCGGCTTGTTAGCTAATGGAATCTAATTAGAACTTTAAAACTTAGCGAGAGCTTCGCCCAAGCAACTTTCACTGCATTATTTACGATTGATTAAGAGGAAGACTTCAAGCATTTCAAGTTCAATTGTAGTGAAAGAAAACATAAAACATAGATGGGAATTTGATTACGTAGCAGAGCAGCGGCAGCAGCAGAGAACAACACAACAACGACGCAGCGTTAAGCAGTCAAACAACAACAAAGTGTACGCCAGAGAGGGGGTTGAGGACGCTGAGCAGGTGACTCATCCGCCCCGCAAAATAGTAGCGCTGAGCTGAAGCCTAGGCAAGGGCTGACTGTCAGCAACATTCGCCGTTACTCAAAATCCAATCAGAGAGAACTTGGACTTCTCCAATTGCTGCACAATTAATGGAAAACATACATACACACATTTGTATACTATATACACATCATATAACCGTTATAGTTGTATCCAAATTTTTATACTTGTAAACGTACTAAAATCGTATGTTGTTTTTTTTTTAAATACTCGTTTAAAGGGTGTGGGGCTGCGGTGACTGCTAAAAAGTCGTCGTGGACGTCGCAAAAATGACGTCGCAGAAACGCAAAAGAATGAAAAAAAAAAAAGAGAAAAAGGTGACCAGTGCTGGGTTATGGAACGCGGATGAGTGCAAGGTTTTTCATTGTTCGAGTGAATATCTCAATTACGCGCAATTAATGCATGTGAACGACTTACTATTCTGGATTCATAGATGACATGTTTTTCGTTTTGGATTTTTGTTCAAGTTTGTATTATTTTTTTTTTTGCCACGAACGAAATATTCGATTTCGCTTGAGCTGCTCGTTAACTGGCGAGTCGTCTGACGGGTGTCTCTAATTTCGATTGGCGGCCTCTTGTTACGAAATAACGCGCACTGTGCACTTGTGTACTCCAAAATTGTTTATTTTTCTAACTTCTATTTGTATTTATTGCAACGAATTTAAGGGAAATTCGATAATTTCCACAAAATTCGACAGCCGAGAACGAGAACAATGGCGACTGAAAAAATGACGAAGTGGCATGTAGTGTGGTAGAGTGTCGTCAGTTGTGCCAGCGTAGTGTTGTTAAACGTAACGGCCAGGGCTGCATCAGCCACTGCTATCAGCAACCTCCGCTTTGTGGGCGGTAACCACCTACAAACGTACAAACATACATATGTATATATATGTACATCCGCCCGCTTGTTTGTATGTAGTATGTAGTTATTCACTTATCAGTAAAGCTTATTGGATTATTCTTTAATACTTGCATTTGCAATAATCTCTTATCATAAATTATTTGATTCTAAACACATCATTTAACATTTGAGAGTTGTTTTGCTTGCATATAGAACACATGTAGATAAATAGTACATAATATTATATGAGGATTCGATAAGCGGGCTATGGGGGAATGCATCATTTTAGTGGGTGGATGTGCCTGCGTTTCCACTATTCCAATGAGTTCAACGTTAGCAGCTGTTTGAGCACTTTTGTCTGTGAGGTTTCGCGTATCTCGCCAGCCAAGAACATCTCGTCGACCACACTGTACACTTTGTAGAAATTAAAGACGAGATCCAGCTCGCACACATTATGGAAGTACTCGTTTAGCACCTCAACAAAATTATGTATGGCCTCCAGATAGCACAGATTATTGTCGTTGACGTCCACGCAGATGCAAAAGTAAAGACCCGCATAGCGTCTGTACACAATTTTGAAATTACGAAACTGTGAAGTGCACAGCAGTTAGTATATGTATTGGGATATATATTTTCATGCTGCCCATATTACCTCTACAAAGTTGGTGTGCTTGGCATCGCGTACAGTGACTACGGCGTGCACTTCTTCAATTAATTTTTGTTTTTCGTCGTCATCAAAGTTCATATACCACTTGGCCAAGCGAGTTTTGCCCGCACGGTTTTGTATGAGTATAAATCGTATCTGAGAGGGTGATAAACAATATTATTTGTATTCAACGGGCTGGTAAACATTATGCTTACCATTTTACAGTATGTGTGTGGGTAATTACTTAAGTAATTACTCGGCTATTTACAATTTTCAGCTATGAACACAGCGAAAAAACTGATTATGAACAAATGTGTATCACTATTGCCAGGGCTGCAGCAGCTGGCGAACAGCTGTTAAGCGGATCAGTGTTGCACATTGTTCGAATGTACACGTCAGTTGGCAACGCCATTCTTGAATACGATTACGTTTTCACTTTTTTTGATATTTGTTTAGGCCCAACTTGAAGCTAGTCATTAACACCTCAATTACCAAAAAATGTTGACGTCGCGCTTGAACCTCTGGTCGCGCCTTCAGTCGATGCGCAAATGCAGCACCACAGCATTGGGCCAACAAAAACAGGCAGCCTTCAAAATCCACGATCCTTTGCAGGCGCACGCCCTCAAAGAGCAATGCATTCTGGTCGACGAGCACGACAAGGCCATCGGAGCTGCTAGCAAGGCCGACTGCCATCGTGTGCAGCCCGGAACGGGTGACGTGAAGCTGCATCGCGCCTTCAGTGTGTTTCTGTTCAACTCGAAGGGCGAGATGCTTGTACAAAGGCGCTCCGTGCACAAGGTGCGAGTTTCTGTGAACTCCAGCTAGATCATTTTGATATCAAGTGATTTTTTCATTGCAGATTACCTTTCCAGACACATATACGAATGCCTGCTGTAGTCATCCCTTGCATGACATTGAGCAGGAGCGACAGGAGTCAAATGCCCTGGGCATACGTTTAGCGGCTCAACGCCGTTTGAACTACGAACTGGGCATACCCCCAGATGAAATAAAGCCCGAGAACTTTAACTATTTAACGCGCATACACTATGCCGACGCAGGCGACGGTGTCTGGGGAGAACATGAGATTGACTATATACTCTTCCTGCAAAAGGATGTCACACTAAAGCCCAATGCCAATGAGGTCAGCGAGGTGCGCTACTTGAAACGCGACGAAATCGACGAAGCGATAGCCAAATTTAGTGCACCCTTGACCCCCTGGTTTGCTCTAATATTGCGTCATCGGCTCAAACAATGGTGGGACAATTTGCATAGACTAAAACAGTTCGAAGACTTGCAAAATATACAACGCTTCTGAGAACTCAAAGCACAATACACGATCGCAGACGCTGCAAGTTGTTGCAATCAAGCCAAAAATATCTATGTGAAATCTCAGTTTTGTTATAACTTTGCCAGCGAAGTGGACATTGCCAAAATCATAAAGTACTATACCATATCTTAAAGGCCTAGTCGATGTAGCCTCTTTCTTCTATCTAGTCTGTGCTTAAACTCTTTGCAGGCAGTTCATATGTCGATGCTATCATAGGTCAAGGGTTACTCAATGAATACTTTACTTTTAATAAGATTATCAATTGTAATCGAAGCAATTGAGAGCTTTGCTATGCGGAATTCATAATGTCATCAATATCTAACGATTGTATCATATAACTGCCATAGCACCGATCAGCTTTTTTTATGAATTATATAAATATAAGTTAAGTATAGAAACATATCGCACATCTGGTATATATCATCTAGATATATAAAGGAAGAATGTATACTTATGGTTCTTTATAGTTTTTATTTAAATTCGCTTTATTTGTATTCAAATGGAAAATAGTGTGTGTGTTTGGGGTTTTCATGCACCTCCGTTTTGTTGATCAGTTCAGTACAACGTATAGAGCATCACATATGTTTGAATAATATGTAAATATAACAAAATAGAGTGTATGTATTAGCATAGCACTAGCTAAATGTGTGTTGTTGAATATTATATAAATATATATATATAGCTCATAAAATGATCACATCACGTTTACCATAATAATCATAATTATCATCATCAATCTCTTCCGCAACGAACAACAAGAATAAATATTTACAAAAGTATGCACTACAAAACTAAACGAGAGACTTAATAGGTTGGTATACAAAAAAGGTGCCCTAGCTAAAATAAACCTTAGAACTAAAGAAAAAATATCTGTATCTGAAAATTAAACAATAATGTATATAGCTGCAGCTTTTTTAACAGTCACGAAGCGCGCACTTCGCAGTGTGAAACGGCAGCAAGTGCAAATTGATTTTGCGTACCCGCCACCGCGCTTCACTTGGCACCACCTTGGCACCGATTTGTTTTTTAGTACAAAGTAAACAAAGGCTTTGCTTACGAAATACCAACAACTTAAAGCTACCTTTGCAAATTAAGACAGAACAAAAATTCGCACTAACAGTATAAATAGGATGGAGGTTTTTCTTGCAAGTCGCATGCGAATGCGTCGTAGTTGTATGTGGGTATAGCTCGTGTGTGTATGTGTTTTTGGGTCAGGGTTTAGCACATCCTGAATTCGATTAGGTTATAAGGCACATTATGTGAGTCTGTCGTGAATCTCAGGCTTGGTTAAATTGCTTAAAGTGCTGGGCACCATCTAGGACAAGCCGAACAGCTTTAAGGCATTAAAGGCAGTGGCCAGGGCGACCTCATCCGGCGTTTTCTTCATGAAGGCAGCAATCATTTCCACAATTGCCGGTAGGCTGCACGGCTCATTACGTTGAAAGGTGCAATATCTGAAATGCGGAATACAAATTAAACAAAAATAGCAAGTGTTCTAATCGGAAATGCCCGACTAGGAGGTACCCTGATTTGGAAGCGATTCCAAACTTTATGAAATGGACAGGGTCTGAATATGACAGTCTAAATGCCAAAGGACTAGGCCTTAGCTAGATAAACCATCTCATCAGCTCATCGCGTCGATCAAAAATATACTTTACGGGGTCGGAGATGTCTCGTTCCGCCTGCTGCATATATTTGCACGAAATCAATCTACCCTTTTCACCATTTTCAATGGGTAGCATTTCAATTCCAAATCCCACCTGTGTAAGTACAACAATGAGCGTTCCGTAATACCACTCTTAACATGCTGTGGCAGTTTGGAGGCTCTCGTATTTGGATACATGAACGGCGCGTCGGTTTCCACCAGCAGTCTGTCCAATGGCAGGGTGCCATTGTCGAGCAGCCGGCGCACGCCTGTATCTGACTTGTCCTTGCACAGATAACCAGTTAAGCTGATGTAGAATCTGCGATCCAGATACTTGAGTGCCTCCTCGGCTGTGCCCATAAAACCTCTGATAATCACAGGCGGTAGATTCTCGAATCTGCAAAGGTTGAGAGAAACATATCATCAAACTATTTAATAAAATATTATCCACTCACGTGTCGAGTATTTCGAGTACATCGTGCTGAGCCGATCGCTCGTGTATCAGCAGAGGTTTCTTCAGACGTATTGCCAAGTGCAATTGCTTGGCAAATATCTGTTTTTGCACATCCGGCTCGGAGAAGTCGCGCTGATAGTCCAGGCCGCACGGACCAATCGCCACGCACTCCTGCGCCTGTGCAATGTGCTCAAAGTCGAACCATGTGGACGGCTCCTCCACAATGGACTTTGAGTCGTGCGGATGTATGCCAGCAGTCGAGTATATAATGTCGGGATAAATGCGCGAAAGCCGCAGCGCTTCCTTGCTCGATTTGACCGATGTGCCGTGTACCATTAATTTCTGAACACCTGAAAGAGACAATAAAGGTGAGCATATATTCGTATAGGCAGGATAAAGTACAGTGTAGGTCCTCTAAAAGGGGACCAGCTGGATTTAAGGATCTAATCAATCGCTTTTATCATGTTTCATAAATAGGATCTTTTAATTTCCGATCAACCTTCTTAAAGGGTATTCCAAATGCGACTACAAAAATAGGCCAGCCCAAGGAGATATTTGTGCCAGGCAGAGCTTTCATTTATGCAGGCGAGGCGGCGAATACACATACAAATACAAATGCATGCACACACATGCACACGCACATGTTGCATGCTAGTCGCTCCTCTGCCAACGCTTGACCTTCTTAATGTATGTGTGTGCGTGTGTGTGTGCGCTCGCTGACCACTTGCCGCGCCCAACGCAGCTGTCATGTATTATTATTAGTCTTATCGCACTTCTTCCTCTTGTTTATTTTTCTTTTCGATTTATGAACAAACCTGCGTCTCTTGCCCTTTGGACAACCGAATCCAGATCACGGCTATACTTTTTGTTGGTCAAATTGGCGCCCACGTCAATGACAATGAGGTTCTCGAAGCAATGCTTCATGCTGTCCTCAATGTCCAGTTGTTCCGCCTCGAGAGCTGCTGTTGCTGCAGCCACCACAGGCGCCACTTGCTGTTGTTGTTTTTGCTGTTGTTCCATTATGTATGTTAAAGAATGTTTTTGTACGAAAATAGCAATGACGTAGACACAGACAAGAAGATGCTTTGTCTTTGTGTAATTTAATTAGCTTTCGTTGGCACAAGGAACCGCTGTGGTTATGCGTACGGCAAAGAATATTTCACTCTTTTTATTGAAATACTTTTAACAATGACCAATTAACCAATTAACAGATGAAATGTTACAAATTAATAAAAATAAAAACAATACCCGACACGAACTACGACTGCTGGCAAATGTTATCGATATTATTGATGAAACATAGGTATGTGAAAATATCGATTAACGTACACAATTTATCGTTGGCGTTCAATGTGCGCAACAGTTGTTTTTGTTTTATTATCGATTAATGCGGCGCACTATTTCAAAATGTAACAAAAAGCTTCCTCTTTTTTTTTTATTTTCGTGCAAGTAACTTTATTTATGTTTGGTATATTTTTGGAAGAATTTCTAGAAACTTTCTCCTACAGGCTTTATAATCAGCTCGTGAATCTGTACGTTGGCTGGCGTCTGGATACAGTAGGTGACCGCATCGGCCACATTCTCGGGACGTAACATTGGCATTTTAGCCAGCACTTCCGGTGAGTTTTTGTCAAAAATTTCAGTATCCACAATGCCTGGACTGACGCTCTACGGAGTATTTCAATGGTTAGAGTTGAATATTAAATTAACACAACAGTACTCACTGTTATTTTAGTCATGGTACCCTTATTCAGGAACTCCTGGCGTAGCACCTCGCATAGAGCAGTGACAGCATGCTTCGAAGGTGCGTACATGTTGAAGCTGAAGCCAGGATTCACAGGCACTCCATGCCCAGCCACACTGTTGATAATAACCACATGTCCATCGTTTATCCGACGTCGCTGCATCGAGTGAAAGGCCTCGCGAGTGCACCAGGTAACGCCTAATACGTTTGTATTTAATATATCCCGTAGATCGGCGCTGTTTCCCTCGTCGACTATATGCATGCGGCGCACAATACCCGCATTATTCACCAGCACATCCGCACCGCCGAGAGTCTCATCGATCCAGGCAAACGAATCAATCACCTGTTGCTCAACACTCACGTCACACTGGCGGCCATAAAAGTGTGCAGACTGCTCGGCAGGCAGCGAAGCCTTGAGCTGCTCCAGTCGATCCAGACGACGTGCCAGGCCCACAACAACCATGCCCCTTGCAACCAGATCCTTGCAACATTCGGCGCCAATGCCCGAGCTGGCGCCAGTGACAACAGCGACGCGATTTCTCCAGCGATTCATATTAAACAAAATAGTAACTGTGTCTAACAGAAACGTATTGGAAGTGCTGATGACGATGGGGAGAATCGAAATCTCACAGGTGCTGTTACACCTGAAAAAAAACAGCTGTCCGGAATTTGAGTCTAGCCCAACATGTGCATAAACAATGTTAGTTTTAAGGAAAAAAAAACTGTTCTTATAACTAAAATAATAACATTTTCTTCGCAGTACATTTTACTTTATACTATACTTTAAATTAAATATAAACATAAGTACCTTTAACTAAATATCTATTATCTCCAATGCATGCTCAACTTAATCCGAAGTAAAATGTGAAATGTGTAACGCATAGAAAGAGACATCTGTGACTACATAAAGTTAATATATATTCTTGATCATTCTGAACCGAATGGATCGGACCACTATATAATATAGCTGCCATAGGAACGATCGGTTGAGAAGTAGTTTCTTGTATGAAAAACTTTTTTGTTCATCCAGATATCTCAACCAAACTAGGCATTGATGCGGAATCCTATCAATATCGGACTACTATATCATATAGCTGCCATAGGAACGATCGGTTGTAAATTAAATTGTATGAAAAACTTTTTGTTTATCAAGACATCTCAAGCATACTCGGCATAGTCTTATTTCCCTGCGCTGCTTAGATACGGACAGAGCATTATGAAAAGGTTGGCTTTGCAAGGGTATAAAATCTGCGGCGTGTCGAAGATGGCCCTTCTTTCTCGTTATTAACAAACATTTATTTGCGCCACACGCTGTTTATTTTATTGCAAATAACGCTTGGAACTGTATTTAGAGCTGATTAGCAAACAGATAGTTGCCCGCCGCCTTAAAAGCACTTATCAAATCAAATTATTTAAAAAGAAAAAGCTTTTCCCTCTGGCAATATTATTATTTTAGACTCACAAAAATGCCACAGCCGCAAAAAGAAAAAAAGTCAACGAGTTTGTTCTTTTTAATATAATAATGTATTACATTTATTTCTGCTAATATGCGTGTATCTTTGGTGTTATTTGTATCTCATGTACATATCTCCCTCTATATATATATATATATATGTATATATAAATAAATATGTATGCTATTGATGTCATTATATATGCATATTGTTTAGCTTGATAACATATTGATTTTATATTTTTTTGTTTATATTTTTGTCACACAATAATATTAAACATAATCTCGCTTGCATTGTTTTCTATCGTTTTTATCTAATATTTGAATTTATTGTAATTTTAAAACTTATAGTTCAATTCGTTTATTCGATAAATATTACTTATATATCATTACCAATTGTAAATATTCTTTTTTATATATATAAATTGTATGTGAAATTAAAAAACTTCTATTAGTATCTATTACCATATATAAATGTGTAGTATGAGTATATAAATGTATAATATAAATACAAAATATTTATAAGAATAATAATAGCAATAATAGTTAATGTTTAAAATAAAATAAAAATTGTAAATAATGAATGGAGAGGTGTACTGCATGAATCATTTGTATTAATACATCTATATAATATATATAATATATATGTTATGTATTTTTATATATATTTTCATAATTTATTGATATTATCTGTTAATTTTTTGTGGGCTTTCTTTTTTTCTTAGTTTGCATTTGGTAGCCACGCTCTAGACGCTGGGAATTGTTAGTATATCTCATAATATTGGGTTTATTGAAGCTTGAAGCTGGGCCAACTCGGGTTGGTCTCAATTCTTTTTTGTTTAAACTAAATCCTGGTTAAAATTGTGGCTTTTTTTTGTTTTCAAAGCGTGCCAAAAACAGCGCCTAATGCTATATATAATTTATTTGTAACTTGATACGAATATATAGTATATATATTTATATAATATATAAATGTTTCGTTTACAGTTATTACTTGACATTTATAAAATTTTGGCTAACAATAAAATTGCATAGTTGTCATTATGTATATCCATATTTCTATACATATTTATACGTGTGTGTATATATATGTTTGTAGTTCCATATGTTTGTTTATATATAGCTTAGTTGTTAGTCATTTATTAAAATTGTTATCGTTAACGTTTTCCTAATTTCTTTTGGTGTTTAGAACTTAACGAATTATGTTTCGATTTTCGATTATTGTTTTTATTAGTGATACGTTTTAGTGCGAATGCTCGGACAGCTTGTTCCACCTGCCTACCTGTGCCTACCCCTCCCCTCCCATAATAGTAATTACCCCAACCAAGAAAAATAAATTACAAATATATATTTTTATATTTATTATTATTTCAACTCTTCTTCCACCTGCCAACCAGTGCCGCTCTCCTAAGAGTAATTAATCCCAACCAAGCACAAATAAATATATATTTATATATATATTATTTTGTCAACTGCCCCGTAAACATTTCCATGGTCGACTGTTGCCGCTTTGTGCGCTTCGTAATGCCTACATCCCCCCAAGAATTAGCCATAACTATGTCCGGCTGATCAACCCCTATATCTCTATATTTCTATATCTCTAATGTCGCAATTCGATTTCGTTTCTCGTTTCTCGTTTCTCTTTTCGGCTTGTGTAAAACTCTAATAAAATTGATTATTGTTGTTTGATAGATACGTAATACATATATATTGCTTATTCCAAAATCAATACAAATATATATTATATATTTTTTTTTTAAATATATATATGCATGCATTGTATATATATAAATTGTAAGAATTGTTCATACAAAAATTTAGTAGGTACGTTACTTTAGACCTCGGTGTTTCTCAAATTTGTTCTATGATACTGGACATTCCTTTTTCACTCTTCGCTTTCGTAGAAAATTTTTAGCCGGGCCCAAGTCCCAAGTTTTTTTTGGGCTGGGTTCTCCCTTGGCTAGTAAAAAATTGCATTCCCTCGCTCAAGACTCAAGTATTTCTTTTAAGCAGGCTGCGTTTCGGTATATATAGCAAATATGACGAGTACAAACAATCTTAAAAACTGCGAATATACAGGGTAGTTGTATGCATGTGTGTGTGTGTGTGAGTATGTGTGTGTATGTGTACAACTATTGGAACACGTATAAAACATCTAATAACTATGTTAGTTTAGGTGCATTGCGTGTACCTCTCTCTTGTGTGTGTGTGTGCGCGTGTGTGTGTGTGTGCCTAACTAAGCGATCCCAGTTGTGTTTTTATACACTTGCAGAGGGTATTACGATTGCGTCATAAAATGTGAAACGGACATCTCTTAGCACTTTAGATATATATTCATATAGATTCTTGATCCGGCTGAAGTTTTAAGTACTTATCGCCATTTCCTTTTACTGTCTTTTTCTATGCAATCTAGTCTCAGTATTAAATCGATATTATATTATTTTATATAGATGACCTAGTTTATTTTAATTTTGAAAGGACTTAACTCCACCGTTGACTATGGCGAGATTAGGTCATTTTGAAGCTACAATCTCCACCGAAAATTTTGAAAAAGTCATCTCTATAATTGTGACTGGCTTTGAACCAAGGTTCTCTTGTTTGTTAGGCTAGCTAATCCTGCGCTAACTCGGGGTATGTCGTGCGAAATGGGAACATTCGATTGAATTCTTTATTTTTTTTAAAATTAGTTTTAGGTTTTTTCTATTTTAAAATGCTTGACCTCACTTGACAATTAAAAGATTTATTGAAATTGAACGCGAAATCCCATAAAAATCGAACTATTATATCATATAATTACCAAAGGAACAGTCATTAGAAATTTTCTTTTTAGGTCAACTACTTTCTTTTTTTTCATTCAAAATATCAAAGCCCAGCCTTAATGAGTTTGAATCGGCTTGAACAAGGCTAAAGGATCAATGTGGTTTTTAGGGCAACTAATTTTTTTCTCATTCAGGATATCTTAAGCCAGGCTTTGAATCGTCTTGAACTAGGCTTACGCATATTAAGGTCGGAAATGTAATATGTAATCTTTTGTTTTTAAAAATCAGTTAGCTAGTCTGCAAGAGTATTAAATCGTCGGCATGCCGAAGTTAACTGGGCTAACCTTGTTTTCATGTTTATGTCCCGCCCCAACACGTTAACAAATTGGTCCGAACCTTTGCCCGGCGCCAGCCTGGCTCTGAGCTTCCGACCTCTATCACAGTCGCAGGCGGTTACCCCCCCTCATGCTGCTGCTCCGCTCTCCAAGATCTGATCAGTTTATAGGCTTATGTACGAGTGTGTGTAGATAGATATAAGTATTTATTCCCAAGTTGGGGTCTACTCATACAGCTCGACGTTGCGGCGGGGAGAGGCGGAGGAGGAGGAGGAGGAGGTGCCGTAGCTGAGCTGCGAGTCGGTCTTCTTCAGTATGGAGACATGGTGTGTGGGCGCATCGCCGGAACGGTTGGTCATCAACGAGTCCTGCTTGTGGAGCAGGCCGCGTCGCTGGTCGGCAAACGAGATGACCGAGTCCTGCTTCACCAGCTGATGGCGGCGCGGCTCCGGTCGCTGGTCCACAAAGCTTATGACCGAATCCTGCTTGACGAACTTCTGCCGCTTGTCCAGCAGGGATGCGGGCGTGGCTTGGGCGCCGCCGCGACGCGACTCGATCGATATGGTGTCCTGTTGGGTCAACGCCGAGTCCACGGAGCGCTCCTGGGCAGCGAGTGCGGCCACGCGGCGCGACTCCATGTAGGAGACAATCGAGTCCTGCTTGGAGAGCGACACCTTGCTGCCGTTGCTGTCCTGCTGGCAGAGCAGACGCCGCGTGCCGGAGGCGTCGCTGCAGGAGCTCTCCTGCTTGATGAGGAACTGCCGTGAGCCGTGCGAGTCCTGCTTGAGCAGCATCTGCTGAGACAAATTGCTGTCCTGCTTCATCATCAGATTGTGGCGACGCAGCGAGTTGTGCTCGTAAATGTACGAGACGGCATTGGTCTTCCTCAGACCTGGGCTGCTGGGACTCTTGCGCGAACCGTTTGGATGATAGTGCGAGGACTTCCTGGTGCTGGTCGTAGACGAAGCAATGGCCACATTGTCATAGTATCTGGAAATGGAAGAGTTATGAAAGGGTTAGATACGGACCTGTGTGATCATGAATCAACTAAAGCCATGCATTGACTCAAGCGAATCGCGTTTCGAGTACTGGTACGATTGTTTGGCACGAACGAATCAATCAAATTTGCGGTTCGCGTTGCAGACGAATTAGATTCCATCGATCTTTTCGAACTGATCGAGGAATTTGACTGTGTCGATTGTGTTGGAGTTGTGCTCGATTTTCGTTTCAATAGGAAATAGGTTCAATCTGATCGAGAAACTTGACTATTTCGATTGAGTTTGAGTTAACCGTTTTCTTGTGCGTGCATTGTCTCGCGTCGAACATGTTGCGGCTCGAGCGGCTCGAACATCCATCAAACATGTTTTTTCGAACACAGCTTATAAGCCCGGGCTTGACGTTTCGAGTAAGCCAGATTGATGTAAATGAGTTCATCGATGCAGGACATTAAAGGGACACCCACCTGAGTCTGCCGCAGCAGCTGCGCGACTTGATGATGGCCGCAAAGCCGCGTCGATATTTCTTGTTGACTGAGTAGAGTATGGGATTGATGCAGCTATTCGATGAGCCCAGCCACTGGGCCAGCGGCATCACCTTCTTGAGTATCTCGAACTCCTCCTGCGATATATCCGAGCCGAACTTGATGCGTGCAAAAATCACGTAGAGTGGCAGCCAGGACAGGACAAACAATATGACAACGGCGACAAGCATTTTGATGACCTTCACCTTGCTCTTCTGCTGCATGCGGTCCATCTGTGCGTCCTTGGAGAGCTCGCCAGGTATGCTGCGCGTCGAGACCTTGATCCAAATCAGAACGTAGCATAATGTTATCAGGGACATGGGCAGCAAATAGCAGGCCACCAAATTGGCCAGCAGAAAGTACAAATTGCCATCGGTGCCCGGCGGCCAGACCTCCTGGCACAAATACTGCGGCTGCGTATAGCTTGAGACCAGGGCATCCGAGAAGACCTCCTCCGCGGGCACCAAATCGAAGAACAATAGCCACGGAATGGTGGTAACCAATGCGATTACCCAAATGCCGATTATCATGATGCGTGCACGTCGCTTTGTCATCTGCTTCAATGGCCACCAGATGGCAATGAACCTGCAAGAGAAGTGCCAACAAAGGAATTTAAACAGCTGCCGCCTCCTCGACAAGGATAATGGCGTGATGACGACACGGTTTCGTGAAAGACGAGCCATGCAAATATCTTAGCCTGATTAATTCGCACATCGCAGCGGCGCATCCTTAAGCCTTTTTCTGCTGACTGCTCGACTTTCCAATCCCGTCTATTGAACTCGTCACACAACACGTGTGCGTTCCCCGAATCCCCCCAGCGGCGCCTGCTCTCCATTTTTTACTTGGCCTGCCATAATCAAGCGTAATTTGAATAAGAGCAGGAGGGATAAGGAGGAGGAGGTGGGTCAGGACTCTTGCGGGTTTTCATTTGGCTTAGTGCTAGCCACTTATTATGGCGCCCCATTCGATAGACCAGCCACAAATAAGTGCTTTAGTAGGGTCGCCTGGCAGATACCCTACATTGAGCAGAGATTGATAAAATTCCAACTCTTTTCTGCAGAAACCTTCGCTTCTTTCCCTCCCTTAACCCTGCTCTAGAAAATATACACTGAAAGAAAAACGGCAGACTCTTTGTACTCGATTCAATTATCAAACTATTATCAAAAATAGAAACTCTTGCATTAAGCGTAATTCGTACTTAATTTCATATAAGCTCTGAAAAGGCCTTAAAGTAAGTACAAAAAGAAGTCCTTTTCGTTGTAATTCCACTTAATTTAAGAACTTATGTGCTCTTCAGAAACTTCAGCTCTAGTTGTCCGATACGTATATAATTTTCAAGACAGATGGTATATTGGTATAATGGGAATCATAATTCCACGGTTTCCATAGGAGTATCTCAGTTCTAAATTGCATATCTTAATCTCATAAATTGCATATTTTTATCTCAAAAATCAACATGGTTAGACGGCTCAGAGGAGCCTACTTCTGACTGTAACATACAGATGGTCCCAGCCAAACTAACTCTCCGCACACATCCTCCACGTTTCCAGGGTATAAGAAGACGAGCTGCAGTCTGGGCCAGCCCACAACCAAATAATTACGACTCCAACTACAGCTCCCGTTCCCGCTCCCCTTACCATTCCCACTCGGAGACTGCTTTTGTGCTATTTTTTGGCCACTTTTTTGGCGTCTGGCTGGGCGAGCGTTTGGCTGATAACAGGCACAAATGGTAATTCTATTAGGGCCCGGCCACAACTTTTCAACAAAGCCAATATCAAATTGTCATAAGGTTTATTTATAGACCAACAATGAACTGTGCCAGATACATACGCATAGATATGGCAATTGCATTAACATAATTTGTCTGCAGTATTTGGGCGCTCCTTAATTAAGTTTTGCGTTCAGCTCAAACAATGGCCATCCTGTCCGATCTGCAGCTGGATATGAGCTTATGTTCGGAATTATGGCCAAACGGAAGCTGGCGAAACGCCTTTGTGCCAAAAGTCATTTCCATAAAGAAACAACAAATTTCACAAATTTCATAATTGGCCAAGCAGTCAAGCAATGCTGGAGCATGCTGAATACTTTTATGGCCTTTTCATCTGGCGACAAAGAGCTTAAAGGCAGCCAAAGTACTCTAGGCTGAAGTGCACAACTCGAAGATACCCTGTAGGCAGCTTTGCATTGTCGAAGATACCCTGTAGCCAGCCTTGCGTTGACGCAGGAATGCATGATTAGCAGATACCTTGTAAGCAGCTATGCATTGTCGCAGCTTGCAGTTTCATTCTTGAATTATTTCTGTGTTTAAGCGTGGTTTGTTGTTGCTTTTTGAGGACCCAGTGTTGAGACTTATATATTCCACGTATATCCTCAAAGTCTAGCATATGTATCTTCTAATTCGTTTCCTTTTTAGTATTATAAGCATAATTAATCTACTAGTTATATGGGAAACCCTACAATCTTGCAGACAGACAGACGGGCATAATTTGTGATGCTGCTCAGGATTTTGCATACTTTATGGGTTTAAATTTGTCTGTTGGTATTTACATGTTTTTACACAATTAATATACAGCTACAATTGTTACAGGGTATTGGCTATATTTATCAACCAGAAGAGAAACATGAAACATAAAATGGATTCAGGAGTAAAATTACTTAATGAGTTTTTCGATCATTCCGAATACTATGAAGTCGACATATTAAGTTCTGTTCTGCCTGTTGGCGTACAGGGTATTACAAAAAACTGAAGAATACTTTATCTCATGGCTTATATATTATTTTATGGTTGTCATTTGGGCAACTCACATGGAAATTGCCGCACACATAAGCACTTGGCATAATGTCACAAGTATGCGGGTTTATCTGTGGGTCTTGTGATAATATTTTTTGGGGGGAGCGAGGGCTGAGAGATGCCAATGCACGTCCATAAAACGGAGAGCCCTAATTAAATGGCATTGGGTAAGCAAGTGATAAGCAAGGATGTCGAGCGCTTAAATCCAGGACATTGCGTGCTGATTTCAGTTTCAGCTAGCAGATAATAAATCTTAAATTTCGCATCACTTTACGAGTGCTCGTAAAATACAAAGGAATACAGGACATGGGACATGGCTTGACCAAATGATCAAATGATAGAGTATATGTCCCGCAGCTGCTCGGCTGTCGCCTTTGGCGCTGAATAATGACAACAGCAGCAGCTGTACAACTGGATGAGGAGAAGCTGTCCCCCACAGAAATTGATATAAATGGAAGCTGCACATGAAGCGGCGCCTCTGATTATCCCAGTTGTTGTGGCTCCTGCATGGACTGTTCGCCACACACATGTCAAAATGTTGTCAAAACATTTTACTACCACTTGATAAATCAACTGGCCGCAGGATTTCTGACTTCATGCGCTTGGCTTTGAGCTGTCAAGAAATCTGTGGTAGCTTTTTATTGTCTTCTACCCATTGAATATGCTGCAAAAGGTGTAGATCGTGTTCTTGGGTATAACAGCAAATATAACAATAGCTTCTGGATTTAAAACAGTGAACTATTGCTAGCTGGCCCAACCCTCGATTGATTCTACGATTTATGACACTCGCTTTCCACTGTAGAGGAAGATGAACAAATAAAAGAATTGAAATCTCGATTTGAACCGGCGACCTATTGCTTGCTGGTCCGACGCTGCTTGGACATTGAATTAACCAAGTTGTTAATCAAGGCTCTTAAAGCTGATCGATAGAAAATTTTTATATTCATAGTTCAGATTTTAGGAAGTCAACTTTAAGTCCGGCAAAATGTATTGAATATATCCGCGATTAAAGAGAGCAGTTATTCAAAAAAGGATTTTAGCATATTTATAAGGTTGAGTGAAAGGGAAGAGGCAGAAAAAGGAAGAAGCTGGCAGGGAAAAACTGGACACAGAGTATGCCCCAGTGGAGCTCGAGCGACACCCTTGCCTGGTTTTTTATGGAGCAGGAAACACAAGGCGAGCTTTAGACGGAGAACGTGTCAAATGCGGCACAAGGCGAGCGCAACAAAGTCTATGTACATTCTATAAAAATAAATGATAAAAATAAATTAAATATTTATTTGCCGCCTAATGCCAAATACGGACAAGGCGAGCTATGAACTTGATCTTGAGATGGCGACTCGCTGCCCGTTTTCCAGTTTTCCCAGTCGCAGCCGGCTTGCATTGAGCTTGGCGGCAATCACTTTTGCAATTAGCTTAAAGCCAGTTCGCCATAGCTACTATAAAAGCGCGACTCGACGCGACATTTGGCAACAGTTGCAAATCATTTGCTCAGCTCTCAACAAACTCCAAACCAAAAAAAAACCCAACAAACCAATCTACAAAATGTTCAAAGTTGTGAGTATTCCGGTGGAATGGGCCTACGTCCTGGCACTTAATTAAAGCTATTCCTCCCGCAGCTGTTCGTGCTCGCCGCCTTTGCCGCCGCCCAGGCCTATGCCCATCCCGGGGTAGTTGCCGTGGCCCCAGTGGTCCACACGCCCGTTGTCGCCGCGCATCCCGCGGTGGTGCACAGCCCGATTATACACCATGGCGCCCACTCGGTGCACTCGTAAGTCGCTATCAAAACTCGACTCGACTCAACATTAATCACGCACTTGTTTTGCAGGCATGTGGTGCATCATCCGGCGCCCGTCAAGGTCCTGCATCCTGTTGTTGCCAAGCCCGTGGTCGCCGTGCATGCCGTGAAGCCCATTGTGCCCCTCGTGCCCGTGCATCATGCCGCGCCCGCTGTTGTTGTGCATCATTAAGAAAACCCAAGCCCAATTCCCAATTCCCATTTCCCAATGCCCGACTCCCGTTCCCTGATCCCACCCAAATCCGCCACAATAAAAGTTCATAGCCACGTAAATTGTGAGAGTATTAACTGCATTTTTTTTTGGACTTACCTGTCTAGCGAGACGGCAATTAAGCTGTAAACCGAAGCCGCCACCGAGACACCCTGTATGTAGGGCACAAACTTGCACATCAGCCAGCCGAGCATCCAGGCTGGAATGAAAGAAGAAGAAGTTGAAGAAAGGGCGGACTGTTTATATATTGTATATAAACAATGCACAAATTATGCTGAGTAACTCTCGGTCATGTCTATGTCTAGTCCACACCACGTCGTGGTCCTCGATGTTTGTGGTCCCCGTTAACGTTCAATGCTTTTTATACACTCGAGGAGGGTATTTTAGTTTGGGCATGTCATGTGTAACGCATAGAGGAAGACAGGAAGGCTAAAACTATATATTTTCATATCTGAATATATATGATGCTTCCATATGCCAGATCTTATATAGAGCCAAAGCTTATTAACATCAGACGACTAGATCATATAGTTATTGCTAGAATTATCGGGCTTCTAAGATATCTTTTATTTTATTATTATTAACAATATTACTACTACCCAATATTTTCAGCTTAAGCTAGATATATATATATATAAATATCTTCTCCGAACACATCCTTTGAAAACTTTCCAATTTTCGTCACGTAAAATAAGCTCGTATTTTAAGGGTAATTTGTAGTCGACCTCAGTCAATAGCCATTCTTTCTTGTCTATTTTTTTTGGTTGGTCGTCCACGTCCACGTCGTCGTCGCCATCGTTGTTTGCTGACTGAGATTTATGTGCTGCATATCATTCATAATTTGGTGACAAGTCTCAGATTGCCAAGAAGCCATGGTGAGGCATTGTTTGCCAACGAGGGGCAGCCCCCAGCTGGCCAAGTTAATTTGTATTCCCTTTATTCTATTTTTGATGGAAGATGGAAGACATGATTGTCTCTGTCTATAAAGACACCCATCCACACACACACACACACACACACGCACACATGCACACCCAAGGAATGTACACTCTGCGAAAGCAGTCAGGAATTCGGTACTTTTATCAAGACCCAACTGAAAAATTTCTTAGCCTGGCTGACATTTGTTTTAAAACCGAAATTCCTGAATCCTAGACTGAAGTACATTACTCTCTCTCCCACTCTCTCTCTCTCTCTCTCTTTCTCGGTCTATCTGTCAATCTTTCTCTTTCTCCGGCCTGCTGTATTGCACTCTGAGAAAAACAAAGAGTTAAGCACAAAATTCTTAAATGCCTTATTAAAAGCTGAACTTATTCTAAGATAATGTACTTGAGGAAACAAATTTAAAATTTTGTACTAAAATTAAGACACAAAATATATAGCTCCGCTAGCTATATAGACACAAATATATAGCTGGCTGCTTAAATAAACCACAAATTGAGCCTAAGTTCATAGATGCACCAAGTTCGCGAACCGAAAACATTGGTTGCGATTGCAGCCTTGTGAAGCATATGCCATAACGATTTGTGCTAAGTAGAATAAAGAATATACTATACTATACCCTTTCTGTCATATTGTAAGCCTAGAAAAGTGTTTTTTTTCTTCGAGTGCATGTCTATAGTTGACTGCTGCGTTATGAATTTGATGCTCGCAGCAAATAACTTAGTCCGACACAAAAGGCTCTAAAAACGCACACAAGGCAAAGGGCTGTAGGGAGGGGGGGTGGTGAGGAGGGGGCAGGGGCAAGGCATTTGGCCCTGTGGTACACGTTGCCAAGGTTGATGACAGTGCAAATCGAATGGCAATTAAAAGGTGCTAATAGAACAGAACAACAACTGCAGCAGGGCCATACACATCATCAAAGCCGAGTTCAATGTACTCGGAAAATTCGAAGAAAAAATAAAAATAAATAAAAATATTAATAGTAATAACCAACAGGGGCAGCGACTATCCCAAAAATATGCTACAGCTCATTTCCTGTCTCGTGTCTCGTTCGCCTGTCTTATCTCGTTTGGCTCTGGACTTTTTATTATGCATACGCACCGTGTGCCGAGCCAAGTTTAATGTGATTTGGCACATAAAAATAGAAACATTATTTTTATTATTTGTGCAGAGCTAGAACTGAACTTTGTTTTGGCCAAGTCAACACACTCGCAGGCCACGTGGGGGACACACATCTGGGGACACTTGACAGCCTTGGACAGGGGCTTAAATAGATTTTGGCCACTTTTCGAACTGCAAGTGCAACAGACTGAGAGATATATTCAAGTGATATCCGTTGCTATTAATATCTAGCTATTTATTTTGTCTGTTGCTCTTGAGTTTGATATATCGTTTGGCAAAAGTTTATTTTCGAAAAAACTTTTCACACAACTTCAATTTGAACCCAATCGAATTGAGTCCAGTTCGAATTTATGGACGGGGCAGCACTTGTTGAGGCGACAACATATGCTGCCAAAAAACTTGACTTTAAGTTTATATTTAAGGGAATTAACTTTGATAGAGCCCAAGCTGATAACACCCATCAATATTTCCAGTTAAACAGCGCGGCCTTCGCTTTTCATGCGCCTTGACCCAGCAGCTAAATGTCAAAAAGCCTTTCGTTTTCTCATCTTGACTTTTCTGATACCCTTTCTGAGTGTATTTCAAGCTGATTGACTGATTGTCTTATAACTAATGAGAGACAACTAATGACTAATAACTAATGACTAATGGCTGATTGATAAACAACACACAGCCAAACCCGTAATCATAAATTTACTTTAAATTAATTTAAAATATGAAAAAAGGACTCGAACATGCAAAAGATTTAGATTTAACTACATAGATTTAACAACCTTTCATTATTTGGAATATTTTGATAAAGATGTAAAATTTAAAGCTCATTTGTTGCTGCTAGGGTATTTAAGTCTTCGGTCTACCAAAGTTATATTTTCTAGCATCAATTTTCTTAAATTTCCTTTCGACGCAAACTTTGCGCGAACTTTTGTCGTAGGCCAAGTTAATGGGATTTCGGTTTTTTGCATTGTTGGCGACGCTTAGCTGGATTCTGGTAAGGACATAAAGTTAATGAAATAATCGGTTGGAACAAATCTGACAATGTCGTTTGCCTGGACGTGGCTTCGATTGAAATGGCCGTGAAATGTTCATGGATGTGTGGGAGCGAGGCAAATAACACTTAGAGAAAATGCGTTATTGTTATGTTTATCGCCGACCGCGTCACGTCCGGCGCCAAATTGAAAAGAAGCAGCAAACCAGAAGCAATCAGGCACGATGAGCTGTTGCCTGACACGTAGCAGCTAAATTAAAATACAATCGGCAAGTGAAGAAAAATGACTTCATCAGAAGCTGCAGCCAGAGCCAGAGGCATGGGCTGAGGCCGCATTACGCATACGCACCGTCAGCCCAAAGAAATCAAATGCCGCAAAGACGTGACTTAAAAAGTCGTAACACGACAATTTGGCATTGTAAAATGGTTTAGGCGAAAAAAATCGAGTCCTTAGTAAATGCCATATAAAATTCCAATTAGAAAGCGGCGGGAAGGACATGCAAAGCCGTGTCTCAAGGTGGCAGCGCGTTTTGCCACTCCGCTCGGCAAATCAATTCATTTCGCATTTTATTGGTTTTTCAACACACACACACACACATAAATTAAGCCCTGCCCAGGTAACACACAGGTGTGTGTGTATATAACCCTGACTATTAGGTTGCCGAGCAAAATATTTAGGTCAATTCATCCAGCCGCAAAGCTGAAAGGTCCTTGAATGCAAAACAACCTTCCACTGCAATACAGAGGCTCCTCACAGGTGTGCGTGTATGTGTGTATGTACTTAGATAATGATAGCTCCTTAAACCCCCCCTTTCCTTCTTGTTAACCCCTCTTCCTCTTCTTATTATATAAGAACTAAGCCCTAGCCGAAAACATAATTCCTGCAGCTCCAAGTTCAATTCCATTTCATTTAACGTCTGTCGCAGCTGCTGACATTTAGCTTGATGCGTGGAGGAGGGGCTGGGGCAGGTGGAGCGGGGTGCTGGGGCATTTTTCCTTTTTCCATTTGCCGCCCACAAGTCAAAATGCCAACATTCAATAATAGCCCAAGGGCTGTCGCAATTTATTTATTGTTGTTGCGTTTAAGGGCCTATGCAGCTGCGTCTGGGTCTGAGCTCTGAGCTTGCCTCAACCTAAGTCAATACACACACTCACACACCAACACACACACACACACACACACACACACACACCCAGAGTGACCCACTAAACGCTGGGCAGCCCGCGGCCCGTGGCCCGCCCTGCGCCTATGTTGAATTTGTGAAATTAGGTCAGTTCTGTGTCGATGATCCTTCAGGCCAAAACAGACGAGGGTGAGAGAGATAGAGAGACAGCGCGAGTGCGCACTGATGCACACTCAAACACACACACCAACACACCAGTACACACACACACACTAACACACAGCTCATTCAGTTTTTCGCTCGCTTCGCTTTTGCTGCTCGGTTCATTTCGTTTACTACGCGAGTCCCAAAAACAACCCAACCCCAACATCGACCTGTGCAACCCTTAACCCCCAGCCCCCCATCACTCCATCCCCTCCCCCCCTCTCTCGGCAACACCTTTCTGCCCTGCTTTATGTCTTGGTGAATATTTTCTAAGGCAGCGCACTTAATTGGCAAACGTTGGCGCCAACTGTGAGAGCCTAAATGCGGGCAGGTGAATTCACGTTGGGGTAGCAGCTGCTGCTACTATTATTATCTGGGCAGGTGGGCGAAAGGGTGAGGGCATCTAGAACTGGGTCTGGGTACTGCCCTGACATGTCAGGCATTGCAATCAGCATTTGATTTCTGAAGGATTTTGATCATTTGCTCGACGATTTGCATGCAATTTCTCAACCGAAGAAGCGCTCTGTGACAGTCGATTTAACCAGCTGCCAGTTGACAATTCACTTGCCACACACTTGCCAAACACGCACACACACACACACACACACACACACACACAGATAGACAGTTACCTGCAAGGTGATGTAAATTTATTAAAATTAAACCCTCACAATTATGCGTAACCTCGTTTATTGGGGCCAAAAGGGCAAGTGGCTTGTGGCTCGTTGAATAGACTCAAAAAATGGCCTTTAATTAAATATACAAATATATGTAAATGTGCATAATACCTGGGCCTATCTCGAGCTTGGCTCAATTAGGAATATTAGGTGCGATAATATTAAAAAGTTATTTCCTCTAAAGAGGAGCTGCGAAATGTAATCCATTTTATTGATTCGAAACTTTTTCGAACTGTAAACCTTTTCGACGAGTATCCTTTGTGAGAGTATAGTATATATAAAGTTCATTCAATTCTCGTACAAGATATCGGAAGATATTGAACTATCGAACGCTTTTATTACCATTAGGCCGCGCTTTAACCTCGTTCTGAATTTTTCGGTCATGTCTCTTTTGAAAAACAAAAGTAAAACTTGGCAAAGCCATTATGAAAGCAAGTTGATTTTAGCATTTCGTGCAACATGTCAAAGTTTTCAGTTAGATAGCGCCGAGTCGGATTTGGTTAGATGAACCCCATTATAGTCGGACGTAGTTCCTTCCCGTGCTGTGCCCCCCCATATTATTCCCAAGGTTGTAAAAACTGATGGTAATTGCATGAGAAAATTCATTGAAGCCTGTGGCTTTGGCCATAAAACTGATGATAATGCACAATAATATTTCAGAACATTTCAGTTCATTTCGAGCATTTCGTATGCCAGAAGTATTTATGTAGCCATTAACGTTAAGCTTGATGCTCCTTGTCGACAAATTGCGCATACGCCACGTGTTGGCGCTGGCCCCGGGCCTAATCCACGTCTCGATTAATTGCCAAACATAAATCCGGTTAATATGCCTAGCCTAAGCGAAAAAATGGAAAGAAAGAAAACAAGAAAAGGACAAGAAAAACATCGAGACGATCCCAACAAAAGCGCTAATGAGCAGCTAATAAATCTCGGGCTAACCATTAGGAAATACAAATCTTACAGATTTGTTGTACTTATATGGTATATATGGAGGGTATTTATATTTTTTGCAGTACATTTAAATATGTTTTCCTGTCATTTTCCAGCACATTTCAAGTTATTTTTCATATTTTCCATATTACTTGGGTGTCCGCTTTCAAGCTAGCGCGTGGATTTTACGAAAGGGTGAAATATTTTGGCATTGATTTTTATCTAATGCTCTAAAAATTATTTTTGAAATCGACTATAACAAACTTAACTACTGTTTTTCCTGTTTTTTTCGACTGTAGGAGTGAATTCTCCACTTGCTTTTTTTATGTACAAAAAGTTGAATCACGAAAGGATACTTGTGTACAAACTATGGCTACCTATGAGTTTTCGTTTACGCTGTGCGTTGATCATCAATCAGTCAATCAGTCAGCTCATCAGTCAAAACAAATAGTTGCACAAATAGTTCCACAAAATATGACTACTTTAAATAATTTATCTCGCTAGGACATGTCGGTTAGATTTTGTGTTGATCATCAATCAGTCAATCCATCAATCATGGCAACACTTATATCACAAAAGGTCTAAGGAAAGGGCTGCGAGATAAGCATGAATTAGTAGGTCCTTCAGTCAGTACAGTAAAAAGTAACAGCTCGTTAGCTCCTACGGGCAGGCCTTCGCGCTGTCAGTCAATAAATCAGTCAATCAATCCGTCATTCGGTTCTTAATATATATGTAAATAATCTCTGGTACAAGCCCAGCTTTTACTTACGCACAAAAAGGTTGCCAATTAGCGTAGCGGGCAGACAGAAGACAATCACCAGAATGTCGGCAATGGCGAGGTTGACAATGAAGTAGTTGGTCACGGTGCGCATACGCGGGGCACGCAGGACGACGGCAATCACAAAGCTGTTGCCAATGAGACCGACGAGGAACACGACAATATAGGCGACACAATAGACAATGGACATGGCCAGCGAGTGGCGATAGAGCGGATCAAAGCCAAAGTCCACATTGCCATCGAGTTGATCCCAGCGCAGCAAGCTGTCATTGTACGACTTGGTGGCCGCCGCCGCCGTAATCAGGCTCGTGGTGGCCGGCGACATGTTCAGCAGGCTGGCATAATAGCTGGACGAGGTGGCATCGGCCACAATCACGGCGCCGGGCATGCCAATTGCCGCCAACTGGGAACTGCTGCTGCTTGTTGCTGTTGCGGCTGTTGTAGTTGTTGCTGTTGCTGTGGCAGCAGTAAGGCTGGATATCAGGGAGCTGGCGGCGGGCGCCACCGTTGCCGTTGCCGTGGTCAAGATGGTGCCCAGAAGTGTGTCCGTAATGGCCCCGTTACTCAATTTAATAGCACTCGGCGAGAAGCTGACGCCGACAACATTGTTGCTGCTGTTGTTGCTGTTGTTGCTGCTGGCAGCATCATTGAAATTCAAGAGATTTTGCAAATCCACGAAATTATGCGTGAAATTATTAGCCTCGCCAGCGCCCTGTGTGACATCCTCCAGCAAATCACGCTGCTCCAGCATGGGCCAGCCCCTGCCCAGCCCCCCTGTTGCCGGCGTGTTCCCGCTGCTGCTGCTGCTGTTAGTTATTGCTGCTGTCGCTGTTGCTGCTGTTCCTGCCGCTGCTGCTGCTGCTGCTGTTGTCGTCGGCGTGTCGCCAGCCGCATGGCTTCTGTGTTTGCGCTTCCGAGTCCGTCCGCCGACAGCCATGCTCAGCTAAATCTGGCGCCGGGATTAATGTCGTATATGTATCTATATTTCTATTAAATTTATTGCTGCTGTGTATTTTTACTTTGTTGTTTTTTTAGAAAAAGTCTATAAAATTGGCGTCACTTGGCATTTTGCTAACAAAACATATATATGTATAGAAATTTTTCGCCTTTCCAGTTCCAGTTTTAGCTGGGTTCTTGCAGGATATGTTGATGTTTTTCGTGGCTGTAGCGAATTAGGCAACATTCAATTAACTTGAGCATGTCTGTGTGTGTGTGTGTGTGTTGAGAGGGGGGTTGGCCTTATTGTTGTTGCACAACACTCGCAAACAGTGTTGCCAGCTTAGCTGTTATCGAGCTAAGTTAGCTTTTTTTCAAAATTGTTAAGAGCTTGTCGCTAAATGTGACTTCTTTCGAAATTGTTGATTTTTCTAGCTAAATTTGACTATTTTCAAACAGTTTCTAAAACTAAATTTGACTATTGTCAAAACTGTTGAAATTTTCTAGCTTAATTTTAGTGTTTTCTAAATTTTGGAATTTTTCTAGCTAAATCGGAGTATTTTTATTATTATTGAAATTTTGTAGTTCAATTTGACAATTTTCAATAGTGTTAAAATTTTCTAGCTAAATTGGACTATATTCCAATATTATTTTGGCGTGTGCTTTGCGTATTAAGATCACATTATTTATTAAATTACTATTTTAGATATAATCATCATTAGTTTATTTTTATTTATTGATAGCTCAATGTCAAGCACTGAAAACACTGCTTATCGCTTGACAATAGCAACATTTAATTTGCAAGGGAAATTTCGGATAAGCTCTTCTATCTACTTGAAAAAAACTTTAGCACTTTTACTTTATGTGTCCTTAAATTATGCACTTAGTTCTATAAGGAACAACTAGTCACTTTAGCTTTTTTGGCTTTCTTTTCACACTAGATTTAGCTTGTTATTTAAAGCGAGTGTTGGCAACACAGGTCACAATTTGCTGCGCGCCAGCCAAGGTTGATATGCAGTTTGTGCAAAATATATTTGTAACTGCATACTAGACCTGCGATTGCACGTATAAAATTGTTAGTTCTTGTGGTTGTAATTGTTATTGTTATTGCTTTTGTTGTTGTATTGTGCTATTGCTGTTGTTGTTGTTGTTGTTGTTCGGCTGCTCGGCAGCTCGGTAGCTCGTCAGCTGGCGTTGCCTTGAGTTGGCATTACGAAAAACTCTGCGAGTGTCCCAAGGACTTGGTTGCATATTTTAGATAAGGCCAAATGTTGGGTGCACACTCGGACACATGGACGCAGGGACGGACACGCACGGTAACGCGCCGAAAAAAAAACGCCAGATGAATATGCCGGAGAGGGCGTGCCAGGCGGAGGCTGGAGGCGGCTGATACAGCTGCAGCTCAGGGACAGGGACATGGCCACAAATCTACACACATGCGCGCAAGCGACAGGCAGCTGTTATTAACTAATTGAATTGCCATTATTCTCGCTGCACTTTGACCTCAAAAGAGGCGTGCCAAATATATAAAATGAATGGCAAAAAAAAAAAAAAAAACTGAAAGCAAAGAAAATAAAAACAGAAATGGCAACTCAATGGCAAATAATAGAAAATGCCATTAGGCACAACTGCCAAACGCACGAAAGACTTTGATGGAGTGACAAAAATAAAAAAAAAATAAAATAAATAAAAAAATAGAGTGCCAAAAATAAAAACAACAGAGAAAATAAATATAACAAAAATTGAGTGGCAAAAATAAAAAAAAAAAACAGAGAACAAAAAACCAATAATGAAAGGAAAATAAATAAATTGTTAATCTTATGAGCAAAAAAAACGTATAATAAAAGGAATATAAATAAAATAAAATGTTATTCTTACGAGTTTTCCTTTTTTCAGAGAAAAGAGAAAAAAACTAATAGTATCAAGAATATAAATAAAATAAATGTTATTCTTACGAGCAAAAAACAAGAAAATAGTTAAAATAAAATATTTTGCCTTTTTTTAGGGTACCTTTTTAGCCAACTGTTGGCCTCTGGGTAGACAATAGACCCATTAATGGAATAGACCCGGGCGCACAGCGGTAAAGTGCTTCAAATTAAATTGTGCTTACATGCTGCGTGGGCATCCGCGTGGCCAATAGGTCACACCAACAACAACAACAACAGCAACAGGAACAACAACAACAACAACAGCAACAAGAAGAACATGAATAAAAACTCGCTGTTGACAAATCGTTTACAGGCCTTGAGGCCAAGACAAGCTAATTAAGTGGCATGCTGCATTTGGGTTAAAGGTCCACAAGTCTTTACTGCAACTTCACAAACTCCTACACACACATAGACACACACACACACTCATGGACACTTGGTACACTACGCGTATTCGTTTCCGTGTTGACGACTCGACCTTTTCTTTTCAGAATTTATTTATCGCCGCGAGCTGTGCACGGCCTGGTGTCTGCTGAAGCACTGCTCCAAATGCTGCACGGCCAGCTCGCTTTTGAGGCACGATAAGGCCAGCAGCCAGGAGCTAGGAGACGAGCCAGGAGACAAGCCAGTAGCCGACACGATACGAGCCTGCCGACGACTGAATGTAGGTCCCTGTTGCCAAGCCGCGCCCGCAAACAGCCTGCCTTCGTTAACGCTCAAACGAGAGAGTGTGTGTGTGCGTGTGTGTGTGTGTATGTGTGTTGCGTGTGTGTGCGTGTGCTGCTTGTGTGTGGGCGACTCGTCGTCGTCCTTGTCGCTGAGCAAATTGGGCATGGCTGGCCCTCAAATGCATTTGGCAGAGTTATGCCACAGCGTTTGTTGTTTTTCTCTCATTTTCTCATTTCCCATAACATTTTCACAGGCACAGAAAACCTACAACTTTGTAGGCTCAAAAATTCGAAGGACCACATTTGGCAATATACAAGGTTAAACCATTGCAAAATGTCAGGGAACGTGAACGCGAGACCCTGAGCGCAAAGCTGATGCTGGAAAATGGCGAAAAGGGAAAACTTCTAAAAGGGAAAACTCAGCCTCATTTTGTGCCATAATAAAACATGTTGTTGTTGTTGCGGCCCATTCTCTGGGTAAATACGTTTATTATGCCATTTGAATGTTTTGCCACTTTTTTTTACTGCGAGTGGTGTGCTCTCTGTGTGTGTGTGCGTGTGTGTGTGTGAGTCTGTCTCTCATGTGTATGTGTGTGTGTTTGTCTGCTTTGTATTGTTGCACAGCCGCAGGAAACAAAACAAAAGCAACAAGCCAGCCATAGTCTCGGGTCTATTATCATTGCAGTTACGCACGGGCGCCCACGGCGTATACGCAATTTCCGAAAATTCTACCATTATTATTGTTGTTGTTGCCTTTGTTTGTCCTGCCAATTGCCATTTTTCTGATGGCTTCCTTCCAACAACTGTTATTTTAGCGTTTCCTCAACAAAATCTCAAGTCGTTCTGGTCACAAGTCGCATAAGTTTTTTGCCCAAGCGCTGCCCTCAGCTGGGTCAGCAATTCCCTTCCCCATGGAGCCAAACTTTGACCCGAATCGCCCCTTTGTTTTTTTTTTTTTACATTTGTTTAAAGTTTAATGGCAGTTTTCGAGTTTCAGTTTTGTTTATTGCTTAGCTCGTTAGCATTCATATTTAGCGTGTTTAAGTACACTCACTCGGCCAGCAGCAAGTAACTCGACTCGGATTACCAAAAAAAAAACTCACTCAAGGAGATTGAGTGCGAGCGCGACTGAGAATGCGAACGCGAGTCAGAGCGTAAGTGCGAGTGAGAGAGCGAGCGCGAGTGTGCGAGCAATACCCATCCCGCCCGCAGAGCGCGTTGAGCACAGGATGCGCGCGCGCTCTGGCAACAGCTGTCTTTTCTGCTGGGCCAGGCAAAGGTTCAAAAACCTTGTGCAACACACAAACAATTCGATGCTGCCAACTACACTTGTCAAAATAAGGAAGTCCATTTCGTTCAAGATTTTAACACTAGATTTATTTTGCATCTCATTTGTAAACATTTTTTAAAATATACACGCAAGAACCTTAATTAATTAAATAAAAACTATAAATTATAAATAAATAAATTAATTCATTCATTTTTGGGAAAAGTAAATATAAATAAAAATGTATTTGGAATTCGATTGGGATTTCGACAAATTAGAATAAACAAGTAAGAGGTTCTAGTCGGGAGCTCCCGACTAGGGGATACCCTGAACCCTGTTCTTCCAACATCAAATGCATATATATATTCTATTTTAGAAGCTATATGTCAAGTAACATACATTTGGATTAAGCACATATAAAATAAACCCTTATACCCATTTTTAATGCGTTCAGGGTATAATCATTGAAGTTTCGATTTTCGCACCGACCTCTATTTAGATTTTCTATTTTTGATGCCAGTCGATAGTATTGATCCTTACGAGTCCAAAATGGTCTAAAATTTTACAATTTGACACTATTTGGCCGAGATATTCAAAAAAAATCATAAGGAAAGGTTGACTTTACAAACGAATTGTTTTTGGGTCAACATCTTTTTGTAACCCATCGATTTTTAATTTGCTGGAGATATGACGTTTTGAAACGACATAATCTCCACATATTTTTCTAACCCATCGATTTTTAATATGTTTGAATGGCAATTGATAGTAGGGATTCGTACAAATTCAAAAAGGTATAATATTTGAAAATCAGACTTTATTTGTCCGAGATATTCAAAAAAAATCATCAAAAAAGGTTTGATTTTCGAACCGACCCCTATTTTAATAAAAAAGTGATGTAACCCCTTGCCGTTTTGGTCGAGTTGGGTCAAAATTTAGATTTTCTATTTTTTGATGCCAGTCGATAGTACTGATCCTTACGAGTCCAAAATGGTCTGAAATTTTAAAATCGGACACTATTTGGCCGAGATATTCAATAAAATCATAAGGAAAGCTTGACTTTACAAACGAATTGTAACCCATCGATTTTTAATTTGCTGGAGATATGACGTTTTGAAACGACATAATCTCGCCATGATCAACGGCGATTTTAAATTTGTTGGAATGCCAATTGATAGTAGGGATTCGTACAAATTCAAAAAGGTATAATATTTGAAAATCAGACTTTATTTGTCCGAGATATTCAAAAAAAATCATCAAAAAAGGGTTGAATTTCGAACCGACCCCGATTTTGATAAAATACGTGATGTAACCCCTTGCCATTTTGGTCGATTTGGGTCAAAATTTAGATTTTCTATTTTTGATGCCAGTCGATAGTACTGATCCTTACGAGTCCAAAATAGTCTAAAATTTTAAAATCTGACACTATTTGGCCAAGATATTCAATAAAATCATAAGGAAAGGTTGACTTTACAAACGAATTGTAACCCATCGATTTTTAATTTGCTGGAGATATGACGTTTTGAAACGACATAATCTCGCCATGATCAACGGCGATTTTTGGGTCCACATCT